AGTACTGAGTGACCTTTACATGATTGGCCATATAAATGTATATGCTACCCCGATTGTATTGGAGCGGGTTGCAAACGTTCAGTTTATAAACCATCCTGAACAGTAGAGCCGGTACGGGGTTACAAGTGTAAAACATTAAATCATCTCCGGTTACATATATTTGCTTAAACCCATCAAAATTAGTTTCGTTTAAACATGTCTGTACAATGCTTTCCATGTGCTGATAGAATTATGGCCAACCACCGTCCAAAACAAAACGGAATGGTGGACTTATATACCTCCTATTCATTAGCCCAAGGGGAGTGTGGAAGAGTAGATGAATTGCAATATGTGTTTTATTTGGTTTTACCTCTGTTGTATTAATATTCAAATACATCAAGTAATAAACACCTTATTAACTAGTTAAGCAATGAAAGGAACGTGCCAATAAACCAAAGTCGAAAGGTCACATGGGGTTGCGATACCCGGATGAACAATGACGGACACGTTTTCATTAAAACATGGCAAAGAATTTTAGGTCACTTGACGGAGTAAAGTTTGTGTACATTCGTAAAATTGAATAATGACATGCCGGCTTATCGTACAAAGGTGTGACTGTGTGTGATCTTATCCTCATATTGACACAATCGTAGCACCTATCAGGGCAAATATTGACATACGTATACATATTGTACATCGTTCAAAAACATTTTTTTCACCTGGTGTTACCTTTACCTAATATAGTTGTGTATTTATCATTGAGTAATGTAAAGTAAGACAAACTTGAATAAACAAGAGAAACCCTGGACAGTAATGTCAACAAACCATGGACCTTATATACAATAACTACAATTGTATATTTTTGTAAAGAATTAAAACTATACAAAGTTAAAACTGTACATGTCGGATATACGTCATGGTTACTTACATATATATTTATATGTGTGTGTGTGTACGTATGGCATTGGATGGACCGACTCTACTATAAAATGAAGAGGTCTCAGGACTAACCTTTCCTTATCGTAAAGAATCATTAAATAAAGTAAAAAGAAATTAGTCATGCTAATGCAAACTGAATAAGATTACTAGACACCAAAGCAGAATAGTTGGCTGGACAAAAAAAGCCAAACGTCAAAGCGAATTGAAAAACTTAGATAAAAGACAGCACTACAAATACTAGGGCATTCAAAATATGAATTATTAGTTACAAAAGAGAACCATCTGACCATATCAACAATTACCAATGAAAGGGTAATGCAGTGAATGTTACCGTTTAATGAATAGGCCACTGAGCACATATAAACATCGTACAACGCGTGTTACACAGGTATTACACGAAATAAGGTAGGAGAATACAAAGAGGTTTTTTTTGTTGCGAGTAATTTTGAAAAGACGCCATACACTTTGGTTTTCCTTTCGAACACATGTTCCCAGAAACCAATAAAAACAACGGTGTAACACGTAATTGTGAAGTAAAACATCACCATCCTGTGTACCTTTTCAGTTCACGGCGAGTTAATAGATAGTTACACCGACACCTGATGACCATGGCTGTTGAGCTAGTTGTAACGCGTACCTAGCTAAATATGTATTATTATCATGGTTTTGATTTTCGTAAGTAGTTTGTCTCGGAATCGTGAATCGAAACCCCAAAATCAACTTTCTTATTAACGTTTAGTCATACAACTTTTCGGAATCTTAAACAGCAAGCACGTACATTTGTATGCCATCATTTTTCTAATGACAGTATGAAGAATATTTCTTATTTTTGTCAAATTTTCATGAAAACACCAGAAGCGTAGGAAATTCAAAATAATTGCCAGATGTAATATAATCTATCCCAATTATAAATTCATTAGAATCCTTGTTGCGTGTTCGGTTAACGACTTCACCGTCATCACACGCCAACTAAAGAGAAACAACCCATCTGCCTTTAAACGCCAAACCCTTTTAGTAAATATATGCCATATAAATTATATTTCATGACGTATACTCACCTGACAAACGATAAAGTTTGATATACAGATAAGGTGATGATATATGCTGGTTGTATTTATGACATTGAGAGTGACAACAAATTGTTAAACAGTACGTTAAAACGTCCAAACCAACGTAGTTGTTATTCCACCAAATGCGGAATGACTTTATAGATTAATTTCATTCACGCTAAACACATTACCACCATGTCTGTGACTAATAGAATCTTCCCCTACCTTGAGGGTTTGACAGAGAAATCTCCAACCCGAGGGGTGATGTTTTTTGATTGTCTAACCCGAGGCTTTGCCGAGGGTTAGACAACCAAAAATATCCCCCCTATTATTTCAGTCACAGCTCCACCGACAGTAGTCTGCCATGTTTGTAAACCAAAAACACATGTGGGGTATGCATATCGTCATTCACTTTTGATGACGTCACAAGTACCGATGACGCATTTTAATGACGTCACCATTGAACACGTGCTAATCGGCACGAGGCTATCTCCCCTTAGGGGGTGACAAGCTGATATTTCCCGGCTAAAACGGGAGACACACCTGTGAAGGGTGGGAGACACACCTGTGAAGGGTGGGAGAAATTGTTGTCAAATTTGCTGAATATTGAAACTATACTGATGAATTTACAGTACCATAAAAAGTACGATGACTTAAATTAGGAATTCACTAGATTGCTGAGCAGTTTATAAAATATACTGAGAATGAAGATTAACAAGACAGTTTACATAAAAGCAAACAATTGGTATGTTTATCAAACTTGATAAAAAAAAATCACCACAAAGTGTTTTATCAAACAAAAATCAAAGTGTTACAGCACCCTATACGGTCGGTAGCTAGTAGTACAAGCAAAACCGCTTGACTTACACCTTGCAGTATGTTTCTCTTCCTGTTCCGAATTTGCTGCTTATTTGAGCATATGATATGGACCTATGAATGGAGCATGTTGTCATGTATGGAAAATAGATAATCAAATCATGGCCAGTAATCACGGACAGTCAATCATTATATGAGAGAAATTTGAATTTTGAGACTGAATAGAAAATAAGCTAAGTAGTATCTTCTGCAACAAAAGGATGTGGATACTGGATATAGACTTAATTTTATCCTCACCAGCATTTAGAATCATCTAGTGTTGTAAAATATGACTGGTCTTTTAATACGGCTTAGTTATTATGATACATACACTATTTGAGGCAGATCCATGGTAAAATGACGGTAAGTCTTAAATATCTGGCACCTGGAACTAAATGAAACAGAAAAAGAGTCCGGGAAGTAAGGGCAATTTTGTTGAAACTAATATATACCAGTAGATATGTCACAACATAATTATGGAGTCTCTTCTGAACTGTAGACGGACACTAAGGACATCGGCTAGTACCAGACTAATGTGCCATAGGAAGATTGATCTTTCCCTTGGGTTTTTCACATACAGTACGTAAATGAACACTTAAGATACGTTTGTTTTTATTCCTTTACCTCAAGTACCACTAATGAGACGTAAATAGCTATAGTAAGCAGTACAATGTTAATTGTATTTGGCTCTATACACCGACATACTGAGCATCAACATATTGAATTTAAATAGGTGTCTGTATTTCCTTAATTCTCATACCATCGACCAGCTACCAAAACACGGTATCACGACAACACTGGTAATCTACGGGTATGTTTTAGAATAGAAAATCACCAGACAACTGATCAGCAACCTCAAGTGCTTTGCAAACATTTCCGCAATCTACACCATGGACATTGATAGGGTCGAGGCCACCAAACCATAAAAAGAATCATATCCTCCATGAATTTTGTTATGAACCAGAATGTGGAGTTAGAAAGAGTCATCAATACTATGAATATTGATAATTAACGTAACGATATTTACGCTATGAATTATTAGCGTGGCATGGGAAAAGTAATATAAATATTGAGTACTCACATAGAGTGGCAGCAATGAAGTGCCGTAAAAATACCCACCATCTATCTACTCATGGGCATTGAAGCGGCTTAATGAAACCACGAGAGGACTGGTGATGTACTCTACAACATCCATAAACTAACAATATATGGGTCCATTAAGGACATATCGTCTGCGCTTAACATTAAAATTCCATCATCAACCCCGGTCATTATGGGCATATGAGCTGTGTGGAGAATGACCATCTGCACTATGATCATTGATATGGCATGACATTGATATCGTAATGAGATGAATTATCATGTACTTTACACATTGATAAAGTACCAAAACACGGACCCATGGAAACAATAGTTGTCTACCCATAATATCATAATGTCACTAAGAACACCAAGAGCATCATATGGAGACATCAGATAAACACTATATCCGCGCAAAGTACCGGTTTAGAGACTTTGAAACAATGATCTCTTCGTGTTCTCTATGAACATTAAGTTTCAGTGAGAGGATAGAACAATGGAGTGAACGGTCTTTTGTAATCATTTACGTAAAGTCAGGATATGTAGTCCTGGACAGACCGACACGTTATACATGTACAGTACAAACATTAATGAATATCTTGCATTGTTGCTTACATACATGTACATGTTTATTAGTAATTGGTCAAGCGTTGAGTAGAAAACACAAACAAGTATGTTATGTTATACATCGTCTATCAACATATCGCAGTACCATCTGACCACTTAATGACATGGTGCGGGTGATAAGACATATACATTAATTAGATACCAAGTTTGGTAAATACTTGAAAGAGGAACGTAACCCACACAGGTGATTACACCTATAAAAGTAGGTAATGTTACAGTATGAACATGAATTACACTGCATCATACAGCTGTTTCTGCCTTCTAGGACTCAGCGGTGATGCTGGTGTACATCTGTAACCCAAAAGTTCGGAATCTAAACTGCCTTAACTACTGTTGCAGCAGAGGGACAGGTGCGTAACACCCCTTAGTTGGTGACGTTATAGACACGGAAATGCTTGAAAGAAAGGTTGACGTACGGATGCCGTGCCATGGTATGCTTTGTTTGCAGGTATAAACGAAACAACCATTGAGTCTATGAATCATGGTTTATTAATTAAGCCAATAATTCTCAATAGTTCATGTATAGTAAAACATTGCATCCCTAGTAAGACATAATTATACTTGGGATATATTTTCACTGGCAACTATGTCCAGCTTACAGTAGAACTACATAAAACATGGATAAAGCATGCAGTATATCTCACTTAAGATAGTCCATTATCAACATATTCGTACACTAGCATTCTCTACATTAATATCATAAAAAGGTATCACACTATTCTTTTGTAGTGAAAATCCTCAAAAAAGGCTAAAAGGGGAAAACTTTTCTTAAAATTTGACACGAATATCACTGCATATAAAATTCAAAGTTTGGCATGAAAATGAACATGCAAATGACATGTACGGGTAAACGTATTGAGTGGTTAGTGAAATTAATTAACTTCGCTGTTTAAAGCATAATCGTTTCCATTTCCATTAAATTTGGTCCCAGTGGGCGAATATGGTAAGCATTGTGATAAGGCATATTTAAAAGCATCCCCTCTTCACATTACATTGAGTTGGTCAATATTAACTAATTCTAAGCATGCGCATCGATTTCATCCTGTCTACCAATTCATGCACGTGTCGATTTAATTGCTAAATTCACACTAGGCATACAAACTTAATAGCTACATCATGTATACATATATCATGTGCAAATACAACATATCTTTGGTCAAATGAAAACCGGGTCATATTGTTCGAGTCATAAGCCTGTGTAGCCAGTTTACCAATGCAATCGATACACCTTTATATGGTCACAGGCTCCTAAACATGGCAATAGACTGTATTGTCATGGCAACCGACCATCTTACCATCGCAACAGGCTACATTGTCATGGCAACCGACCATCTTACCATCGCGACAGACTACATTGTCATAGCAAACGACAATCTTACCATGGTTACAAACTGACAAGCCTAAAGATCGTTGTTACTTTGGCAGCAAAAACATTGTGTCGAATAACGATAGCACGACACTGCTTTACCCTGGTTTGAACAAAATTGGAGTTAAATGTCCAATGTATCAATAATAATCTGTTGATCTGGCGATGTCATAGAGCAAGTCACATTGCTGTGTCCGAGTAATTACACAACAAAGTAACAAACCAAGTCATACAATGCAGATATCACATCATCCAACAACCTTTATACCACGTTATCATAAACATATATGGTGCTATCACGTGACTATGTAATGGAGATATCATCGAAGAGTTTGGTGTCGATAACCAACAATTATTTCTCTCGAAATTTAAACCACACACACTACAAAAGGTTGGAAGCTAATTTTATTTACCCACAAAAGTTAATGCATGTACTGAATGATAATAATAGCACATTTGCACCAAAAAAGACTGACAAGAATACAAGCAAGATAGATTCATAAAGATGAAATTAAGTTTTAAATCAAAGGCGAGGGTATTCAGAGGATCTGGATATACTAAACTCTTAACATACAGCGAAACAGTAAAACGATGTAGGTAATTTTATTTACAAAAATGACACCCTTGTCGTTAAAAGAAAAAACAACATTACTTTATCAGTACAGCATATAAGCACTACAATGCATCCTGGTACTTACAGGACTCACACAACTAAATCATTTACTTTATGTTATTACTAAGCTTTTGAGTTAATAGCGGTAATATTTGAAGTTCAACACTAGCGATAACTGTCTAGATTCACAGATAGATACCTGACAAAGGCTTCAAAAGGCATTTTTTGTTGAGTTTAGTGGCATACAAGAGCGCCTGCAGCCGTCTGCTTTTGACAACCGGTGAACTTACTCGGAGGCTCTGTATTAAACCGGAACAAAGTTTAGGTAAAGATTACAATCGTATGAAACACTTGCTGATTGGCTGATTTGGTTGTGTGAGACCCTCAACAACTGTTCATCTACGACCGGATATCTATAAAGTGTAACATTCTAAAAATGTACAAACTTCTGACTTAGGTGAATTGTAATATATATCGTTAATGTCGACGTAGTTTTAGCTATAACATATTTTGTAAAGAGTTTGTCTTTTACTGTAATGTATATATTAATATACGGTTACCTATTAAAGAACTCGGTAATCAAATACAACCATTGTCGTGGCTTACTCTTTAACAACAATAACTTGATTTAATTTCAATTCGAATGTGCTGACCAGTTGCAGAGCGTAACATCTGTGTGGCTAACTGATGAGAATGTAATCAATACTTTTCCCATGTTTTAGTATCTCACTACCCAGCTGATACTACCCAAAACCATACGTTGAACCAACGAAGAAATAGAAATAGATATGCTACCTTAGACATAGTACCTCCTATGTTTTGTAAGAGTTATCACATTTGAGGATATACGCGTCCTTACACAATTATACCAGGTTCGAGTTAAGGGTTAGCCTCATCTCTCTTCATGATATACGCTACCTTACACAATTATACCTGATTAGAGTTGAGGGTTAGCCTCATCTCCCTTCAGAATATACGCTACCTTACAGGATTATACCTGGTTAATGTTAGGGGTTAGTCAAAAACAAAATTATATCTGATAAGCGTTAAGGGTTAATGCCTTTAAAACTGCAAATATCCACTATTTCACAATTGAGTGGGCATTATCCACAACGCGTTCCTTCAAAAGCGTAACAAATTAATAAAGTGTATTTACATTTCCATATTAGAATGGAACTCTTTAAAAAAAATGGTAAAATTTTACAGCCAGGTTACATACACAATCGTCTCTAAGTGACTTACAAGAGAACCTCGAATTTCGATAACAGTGGAACATAGTCTATGCTGTCCCTTTGGAGTGGATATCAACACTTGCCTTTCAGAACACTGTAAAGGTGTTACGGATATCCGGGTGTCATATCTAGCGACAAATTATATATAAGACTTGAATAGGAAATAATATTCACGCCAAAACTCCGATATAAAAGAAACCCCCACGACTAGAAATGTTTAAATGGTTTTAAGTGTAGAAGAAACTAATAACAAAACATTTTAAAAAGTTAAAACATTATATGCTACAGGTAAACATTATATGTTACAGGTAAAGGAATTCAGCCAACATCGAGCCAACAGAAACACTGACTGTGTAAATCTCACGACTAGAAAGCTTTAAGCTTTTCTAATACATGGCAATGCGTATGATATAATCAGAAAAGCTGGACATTGGTTATAATAACAATGATTTAGTATTTACATAATAACAAAGCGCTACACGTGCGGTAGACTACAGTGATATATAACCGATAGTTTGTATGTGTCAAACGATACAATCACTAAGAAAGAACAAGCTATAAGTAACAAATAACAACGTGCTTTCTAGCAACACTTTACCAATAATAACTGCGGGTGGATGGAAGATACGGTTTACCTAGGTGACTACCTTAGTAGAGAATTCAGAATCAGGTTTCCTTCATATTAAATTGTAATAGTAACATAAAGACCTACTGTACACGGCAATTAAAAATCCTTATTGGCTTCTAGGAGCCATGTCAGTGTACTCACAAGACGGGCCTTTTCGTACAAGAAACATCACTCTATTAACAGGGAAGACATATTTCAGTGCCTGACAACCTAATAATAATATAAGCCGACATTATTCTGGTAATACCGTCTTCACTTTCCTTTTAGAAATATATACAACTATTAGAGAGAGGAAGACGAAGGACTGAAAACAGCACGGCGTGACCGTTGATCTAAAATACTTCATTTATATCGTGACCACCTCTCACCTTGAAACAATGCACGTGACTATGAAATATCTCTAATTCGCGACTTTTCTATCTTGTGAAACAACATAATGACATTAAGATGCCGATTGTAACACTTGACATTTACATGTTGTGCCAAGTCTGATGTTGGCTGACCATGGCGGGATTGTGTAGCATAGACTCCATTGCGGGGACAGACACGGGCGGAAGCGGTGCTATGTGCTGGGCGAAGTTTAGGGCATAAGCGGCGTTGTAAACTTCCTGTTCATGCGAGGTAGGTGCAGGCAAAGAATGAGGTGTAGGATGGGGAGGTGGATGGGGCAGGTGTTGTGTATGCATCGGGAGAGGAGACAATGCGGATGCAGGGGAGTGTGTCTGGTGCGAGGAGTGTGACGTATGCGGTACTGAATACACAGCTGACAAAGGCAAGGTCTGGGCAAGGGGCATTTTCATGGCGGCAGAGTGAGGAACACCATGGGGAATCGATAGCGTTGTCGAATGTTGCGTCGATTGAGATATAAGCTGCACAGCGGTAAGGGAAACCGGATGTGGCTCAACAATCGATATCTGATGTGGTGAAGAGAGGGCAGCCTGGGCCGGAACGGAATGCTGATGTGGCAGAACTTGTTGGAGCTGCGGATGGCTAACGACCATGGAGTCGGGAGCCGGCACATGTACAGTCACACCGTGATTAGAAGGGTCTATCTCAACCTCAGAGCTGTGGTATTGCGTATTTTTGGACGATGAACCTGTATGTGTCATCATGTGCTTCTTCAGATCTTTGGTGAACATGAATGACTTTTCACAGATGTGACACGCTTTCGACTTATCTCCCTTGTGGTTCCGAACATGTGTGCGAAGGTTGCTGCTGTCGGCAAACGACTTGCCGCAGATCTCGCACGAGTAAGGTTTCTCTCCCGTGTGAATCCGAATGTGACGGTCGTGGTTATGGCGCTCACGGAACACCTTGCCACAATGTTCACACTTATGTGTCTTGAATGAACATGAGGCCAGTTCCTCGGCGCTCATGTGCTGGGCGACCATATGTGTCTTCAGGGAAGACTCCATCTTGAACCCCTTTCCACAATGTTTGCACATGTGTTCGGGATGCTCTGCGTGAACAGACTGATGATTTCGAAGATGAACAGGACGATGGAACCTTTTCCCACAAGTATGACACATGAACTTTTTAAATGTACTGTGAATGATTTTATGATTCCTCAGAGTGTCTTTGAGACGGAAGGTGGCATTGCATATATTACATTTATACGGTTTGTCGCCAGTATGAACCCCGGCGTGGTTGGCCATCTGTTTCTGCGTGCGGAACGCCTTACCACACTGGTCACAAATATACGGTTTCTCATTCGTATGCGTGAGATAATGCGAGTCCCGATTTCGCCGCTCGAGAAAGCCTTTGTGGCATATGTCACATTTATATGGTTTCTCTGGTAGGTGTATTTTGGCGTGTCTCCTCAGACTCTCCATTGTGTTGTACCTCTGACCGCACGTCTTACAGATGTACGTGCCTTTCCGGTCGTGTAACTTCCGGTGTCGATACAGAGCCACTGGGCTCAGGTACTCTTTGCCGCACATTTCACAAGCATGACTCTCTCTGTGATTATCATGATTCTTTATATGGATTCGATAGTTCCTCAGAGCTGTGAATTTCTTTCCGCACCGTTCACATGTGTACCATGGCCGACCAGCCTTGGGTTGGATTTGGACTGGTTCGAATGGAGGTTCTTCCTTCTCGATGTAGTGAACAGGTCCACTTATTTCCTCCTGTTCCCCCTCGGTGGCGACCAGCTCCCGACTTTTGTTCAGAATCTTCACATCATTTTTGTGACAATTTTCGTGACTTTTAAGAGAGTAATATGAGCCACAAGTTCTACCGCAGATACTACACTTGAAGGATTCAGCATTGCCTTTCCCGGGTCCTTTGTCTCCGTGGAAAATGATGCCGTGAATTTTCAGTCCGCCCTTGCTTTTGAACGACTTCAAGCAAAGGTCGCACTTGTACGGCTTCTCATTAGTGTGTCGCATTATGTGTTTGGCAAGATTGTCTGAATCACGGAATGCCCTGCCACAAATGTCGCATTTGTATGGACGTTCATCAGTATGTGTCAACATGTGACGTTTTAAATTAAACCTAGTTTTGAAAGCGGCATCGCATGATTCACATCCATATTTCTTCCCTCCTTTATTCACATTCAATATTTTTCCAACCGGAATCGGCAACGTTTTCTTGGCCATGTTGATTTTATGAACTCTCTTTTTATGCCGGATCATTCCGTCTCTAGTTTTAAATTTCTGGGCACAAACGTCACAGTTGATCCCCCTTTCCTTCGAATGCGACGCCATGTGTCTATCAAGTTCACTTTTGCGGTTGAAACTTTTTTTGCATCGAACACACGGGTGGCTGGTTTTAGTGGCATGGTCTTTGACGTGACGCGCCAGAGTCAAGTAGCTCTCAAACACGACTTGACAGTGCGGACATTTGTGAGAGTTCTCCCCCTTGGCGGTAGACCTGGTATCACGTCGATACTCCGAAGATTTCTCTCCTGAAAATAGTAATATATATTCATATATATATATATCAATTTTAAACTTGTATTTCACAGTGTATATACCAAATATTATATTCACATGCCCTTCATCATAAAAACAAGTATTCTATTACAATACAATACACACTGTACAAGGATATCAGTCAGCATTTGTTTAGCTGGATATTAACCCCCAACCCGGGAACCAATTTGAAAGTATCTCAACGAGGTTCACACTTTGCTAAACAATGACACTTTAATTGACCTTATCAACTGGCGTTGATGCAGTGACCAATGCAATGAAAACTCCACCATGTCTTTTCAGTGATATTTCAAAATCAAGATCTTATCTGGAATGGTTCTACTCGTGGTAGTTTATTTTCCGGGAAAGTTGTGATTCTAAGATATTTGTTTTTTAAAAAGAGAACGCTAAACCGCAGTGAAATTTCGTCCGTTTTTTCGGCCATGATTAGAACCCAAATTGGTACACTGAATATCATAGGCTATGAACTTGTTTTTATTTTTAATTAGTTGATGTGCCGATAAATGAACTACAATTGTATATCGACATTCTACATGTTTATATTATCCAAGTTTATGGACCAAAAATAAGCATTTCGACATGACTTTAATTAACCCCTTCTAAGTCCTCTAAAACATCTTTCACAAACTATTTTTCTGGTTTTCTGACATGTTTAATTTGACGTCATTGCGTACTCTTAAAATGTCGCTGGGAAACAAAACTATTTAGTGGATATGATGATAAATATCTCGATGGTGATACCACCAGAGGAAAATACACAAATGTATTTATAAAGTACTATATTCAGGCCATTGTCTGACCGTGTACCAATTGGGGAAGCGTGATGTCACATTTTTACATTAAATCAGCTCAAAAAATCACAAACTAAGGAGGACATGCATGAATTTATTTGTAATGCAAATAAAACAGCAGCGACAGTGCTTATTCTACATCAACTAATTCAAGTACATGTATGTATTACACCAAAAGGTAGTCCACAGTGTACATGGTACATGCAGACAACCATCAAACGTGTATTGCTTTTAATTCTAATAATTATTATTATAACTAAAATATTTTAAAAACGATACGTATCCTCGAATAGGGAGGAACAAAAATTCATAAAAAATATCCATTTCATTGAAAACATTTGCAGAAAAAGAGCACATACAGGCCACAATTGAGTAACAAATATACCGTACATGTACTACATGTAAGCATTCTAGTCACTACTACCAATCTGACACCAAACAGTATTTTGTAATATTTATCTACCAAGAATGATATAAAATGTATTCGAATAATGAAACAAAATTAAAGGCTGAAAGCAATGTTCCTTAACATTTTCAATTTTCTTTCAGAACAGTTTACACAATGCTCTGCAGAAATGTATAGAATGGGATACTCAAGTAAAGCAATATCTTGTTATCTAAATCACATTAAAAATGAGAATATCAATAAATGTTTATATTCATAGCTACATATGGAGATATTATATTTCACAGCAGAGGAGATTCAAATGAATGATCCAAACAACTTTAAGTGATCACCTGGTGTAGATATACTACCTAGTGTAGAAGGATTCATGTTTACTGGGTAATCAACACATTTGGATTTACTTTAGTTACAAATTAGGGCAATTGGTTTTGTAATTCCTACCATGCACAATTTACCTTGCACCCACTCCACAAATATTAATGTTAATGTAATTTTACCTCCACCCCATATACATGTCTTATGAATTATAAGTGTTGAAATTTGGGTCTTGTAATTACAAGAATCACAAGACCACACAGTCACCACTCCGTCCCCACTAGCCTTAAGATGAAATAACCTTATACACCAAGTATTCAGTATTGAAATCCTTGCCATGATTACGGTATTACAACATGTGATTGAGACAATCAAGAGCAATCCAAAATACTGTCTATACAACACTGAATACCTATATACCTTGGTATGTGAATATAAACTTTATTTATTTTACAACAATTATGAAAAAAGTTATTTCAACTTATATTAATCTCTCTTGTTGGCCGGGATGTTAGCTAGCGGGGGTCTTAGTGTGGGAGGAAACCGGAGTACCCGGAGAAAACCCAGGTGGTCGGGCAGGTGACCCCAACTTTTTCACGTCGGATCGGTGAATCGATCCGCGGCCGCCTTGGTGAAAGGCAAGTGTGCTATATCCACTGCACCACCCGACCAATGTGTAGCTAATTTGAAGTTTGTAACAGATTGCAGTTCAGTACAAACTTCAAAACTACATCCCAATATGATCTATGCAGAATTTTCAGGTATTGAAATCGAAAACTTTGAGAAATATGTTTATACTTTTTTGTAATCTGATAAACAATATGATGAATCATGTAAAGACAGTACAGAGAAGCCACTAACCATCAGCTATCATCATCATCGTCATAATCATGCAATATGGCAGCATTTTTACACTACAGTAGCTAACACCTAATGCATGTATCCCCTTTTTGGCCTGGCAAGGAACATTATCATGAACATCAAACTCAACAATTTGTTTCACTATGGCAAATTTATTGCATCAGTCTTCTTGGATTCTTATTAAAGTATTCATGCTTAAAATAAATGTTAAAATACATTGAAATAAACTTCCTGACACATTATCTAATAAAACTGGCAAACATCACATCGACTAAATATATATATTACGACAAATACAGTATTATTTCATGACACCTTTAAAATAACTAATGCAATAAAATAATATGTTAAAATTCAGTAGGATGATATTGTTGATTATCCTGAAACATGTAGTTACTCAAGTATACTAAGGGTGTGAGACATACCCTGCCCGAGGTTTCAAAATATTTTACTAGCCTAGGAATATACATTTGTATGTAGTTTTGGTGTGGAATTGGTAAAATGCTTAAAACTCTGCCCATTAAATTATAACAGCTAGGGTTCAATATCTGAATTCGTCATAGGAGTAAACACCCATAAGAAATAAGTGAAAATGAAATTTGGTCACTTCTCAATAAAAAAATATAAAAAAAAATATGAAACATTGAAAAGTTTAATTGATTATTTTTCGGTGTGTTGAAATAGGGAAAACAAATTTCGTTTAGTACATTTTGTAACAGGTGAACAGATTTTTATTACAGGGATTGTCTCCCTTTGCCCATATTTTTGTTTTTGTTCGTCCAGTATATTAGTTTGTAAAATAAATTCACATTGAAAACACTTTTAAGAAATTAAAATGCCAGGTAAAACACTCTATACAAGTCATGTGTATGAAATAGTAAACCAAGCTTGAATACATAGAATAGAAGCATGCATGTACCAGCATGTATCGTGAGATATTTAAGCATTCTATTCGATAGGGGAAAACTCTTAAAGAGCATACAAAAACGTTCAGTAATTTTCATATAAACAAAGTAAGATCATGACAGAAAGATTATCGAACATAATGAATACCGATGTACATCTTAATAAAAAATGTTGCTGAATCTTTTGCTTATGTTTAAAAATCAAAAATCAATCAAAGCAAATATGGCAAAAAACCCAAACATCAAATTAAAATGCAACAAATTATCAGCAGTATTTTGTAAATTTGTACTTTGTGTACAAAAGCAGATACATCAACAAAAATGTCCCAAAAATCAAAAATATCCCAAAAATCAAGCAATTCATCACATTATAACATAATAGAATTTTATCATATGTCTGTTTTTCTTCATGTAGATGTTAAATATACTCAACACACATCTATCAATAGTTTTTAATTGCCGAGGTTTCTTATATATTTTTTAATTTTCTGTAAACAAAATTTCAAGGGGCCTGAAATTCATGAGATAAACAATGTCAGAAATGTTGAAAGCTAAAATATTACTACCAAACAGGTTAAGTCTGTAGTTTTACCTTTACACAGTTGTTGGAATTCAATATTTTGACAGTTCAAGTTTCTATTCACTCATATGAATGTATCATGCCTGACATCTTGTGATACTACAAATTCAACAGTACTAAAAATAACATCCAATTCAACCTGTTATATAGTAATTCCTCTGCCACATTATTTTCTCAACTCAAAAAAGTTGCAGAGTTGCCTTTATTGTGCTGAACTATTATATATGTTCGAGTCAATATTTCCATAATCATGTATCTCATACATTCTACAAGTAATATATGGATTGCTTTGTCTCATGTATACAGATTTTTACATTCATAAATATTGACATGTTTGGTAGATATTCTGTCACTTTTCTTGTAAATACTTTTACAATGATAGTGTGGTCCCGATGATCAATATTTAATCGGAAAGGCAACCGATTCCCGACAATCGATTATGAGATGTCAACATCGATGATTGTTTTCAAAACCGAAAGTGCGAGTTCTACTTTCATTTTCACTAAGAGAGAACGGAAGTTCTATGTCATTTTACCCTTAACTATAACATCTTACCAATCATGCTACTTAAACATAATTAATTGCTAAAAAAAAGTGTTAGGGGTTGCTTGAAAGTTGAAATTTCATTGGTAGTATTAAAGAAAAAGCAATGTCATTGTTAAAAAAAAGTAATATTTTTTTAAGGATTATGTAACGGTAGGCTAACTGATTAATAATCGAAAATCGGTCGGTTGACACTAACAGATTATATCCGATCATCGATGTTGAAATCTCAACCGATTCCCAACACTAATAGATGACTATCCTGTTACATATATACACGTAGTAGGTTATTATACTGACTAGATTGTTAATGGCAGTACTATATGTATACAATACACAAGTATTATAAATAGGGTGCATTTATTTTCAATATGTAACACAGAGTAATATATGATAAACCATACAATGTACATTGTATATATGTATATGCAAAAATGTTATACATAACTATGTCCTTACAATACAGTGTAACAGATAATGGCATATAATAATACATTTAATATTACAAAATTTTAATGCTTTACTGCATGTTTAACTATAAAAAGAAGATTCAGTGTGCATGTACATATTTTGTATACCATACATAGTATGTAGTTCATGATTATGTACACTGTATATACTGTATATTAATTACATTGTACATTTTGCATACACTTAATAGCAGTGTAAATGAATTGGCCTTTTACTAAATATTCATTCCAATGGACATCAAATACTAAGCAATTTGCAATGTTAATGCATAAGCATAATAATTCAATATTTTGTACAAATTACACATATATAACTAAAATAATGCAAAGCATGTTGTCTAATTACATGGTCATCCATGTCTGGTGTGTGATTGGGTGTGATGAGGATGGCATAATAGACTCCATATGTGTAACAGCTACAGGGGGTAACGGCTGCAGATGCTGAGGAAAGCTGAGAGCAGCATATGCAGTGTTTAATGCCTCCTGGTCAGCAACACACATGGCTTGCTGCTGTGGATGTGGCTGGGGCAGAGACTGGGGGAGTGGTTGGGGCAGGGGCTGTGGGTGTGGCTGTAAGATGGACTGAGACATGGGAGGAGCCACCAAGGTCTCCTGGACGACCATCTGGTTCTGTATACTAGGGTTGTGTAGCCTTTCAGTCATGTCCTGATACAGAGGCTGGGGGTCGTTGTCGGAGTGTGTCAGCATGTGCTTGCGCAGGTCCTTATTAAACATGAATGATTTGTGGCAGATGTGGCATGCCTTTGACTTATCTCCTTTGTGATTTCGCACATGAGTGCGCAGGTTGCTGCTGTCAGAGAATGCTTTTCCACACAACTCACATGCGTATGGTTTCTCACCCGTGTGCATACGTAGATGTCGGTCGTGATCTTGACGTTCTCTGAAAATTTTTCCACAGTACTCACACTTATGCGTTTTAAAGTTACAATGTGCCAGCTCCTCAGCTGTCATGTGGTGGGCCACCATGTGAGTCTTCAGGGATGTCGCCATCTTGAATGCCTTGCCGCAGTGCTGACAGACATGTTCCGGCACTTCCATATGAACTGATTGGTGATTCCTTAAGTGAGCAGGGCGGTGAAACCTCTTGCCACAAGTATGACACATGAACTTCTTAAAATCACTGTGGACTAGTTTATGATTTCTGAGTGTGTCTCTTAGTCTGAATGTCAGACCACATGTGTTGCACTTAAACGGCCTCTCTCCCGTGTGTATGCCCTGGTGATTTTTCATCTGCTGTTGCGTACGAAAGGCCTTCCCACACTGGTCACAGATGAATGGTTTCTCCTTTGTGTGTGTCAGGTAATGCGAGTCACGGTTCCGGCGTTCGATGAAACCTTTGTGACAGACACTACATTTGAATGGCTTGTCCTCTAGATGTGTCTTGGCATGCCTCCACAGGCTCTCCATGCTGTTGTACCTCAGCCCACATGCTTTACACGTGTATGTACCATCCTTGTCATGCAGCTTGCGATGCCGGTACAATGCAGTGATGTTGAGATATTCCTTTCCACACAGATCGCAGGCATGACTGACACGATGGCCGGCATGGTTCTTCATGTGATTCTTGTAGTCCCTGTTACAAGTGAACTGTTTATCACACTGGTCACACCTCAGCAAATTCTTTTTGGCTCTCATCCTCAAAGTCTGTCCATCTTCTTCGGTACCAATGGTCTCTATCACAAACTTCTCCTCAATCGGCTGTGTGATGTCAATCTCTAAATCCAGGCCTGATGATGACAGATCTTCAGTTGAATCTTCCATATCAGCAGGTTCATCGTTTATTTCAACAAATTTTCCAGACTTGCTTAGAACTTTTTCGTCGTTCTTGTGACAGGCTATGTGGCTCTTTAAAGCGTAGTAAGATCCACATACCCTTCCACATATGGCACACTTGAAGCTGTCGCCTTCAATCTTACTGAGACCCTTGTCCCCGTGGAACACAATGTGGTGTATCTTCAGCCCACCCTTACTTTTAAACTGCTTGTTACAATCATCACATTTGTAGGGTTTTTCTGTACTGTGTCGAACGAGATGTTTGGCAAGGTTGTCTGCCCCTCGGAAGTTTTTGCCACATATTTCACATGCAAATGGACGTGCGTTCATGTGGACCATCATATGACGCCGTAAATTGAACCTAGTTTTGAAAGAGGCCTCACAAGTGTCGCAGTCAAATGACTTTGGTTTATCAACAGTTTCTGATTTTTCAATTGTATTTTGATGAATGAACTTTTTGTGCTTGGCGACACTTTCCATTGTTTTGAATTTTTTATCACAAAGATCACAGGAAACGAGTCTATCTTGGGCGTGGGTTGCTTTGTGTCTTTGTAGTTGGCTAAAGGTGGCAAAATCTTTATCACACTGTGAACACATATGTTTCTTACTGGACCTTGAATGAGTTGGAAGGTGTTTCTGTAACTTTGCCATCGTTTTAAACCTTGATGAACAGTAGCGGCAACTAAACATTTCTCTTGGTTCTGCGAGTGCAATTTCCTCCGCCATTTCGGGTGTCTTCACATCAGTTTTTTCATCAGTTTTTTCATCTGCAAAAAGGAAAAAGAATGACGAATAAGCATTCATTTAAAATTTTAAGATGTTGTACATAAGTTTTTCTCACACAAGTCTTCTTCCAAGAACATAAACTACATATGTTGTGCATAGATACATTTTGCAAAAACGTTTTGTACAATAGTCTATGAAGGATGTTTATTGCTGTTTATTGCCAGGAGAAGCTACAATATAACTTGAATTTTAAAAAATATTATCAGTAAATTGAAACATGCTTATTTTACAAAAAAACATTTTGGATGCAGCATATGAACAATTTTTACAAAATTCTTTTTTTTCTAGTTCAAGGGAGATAACTACCATACCATACAATGTGATTAAACTCACCTGAGCAGATTTTGGCTTTACATCCGGATAAATTCTTTCTCGGTCTTCCCAACACCTTGTAAATATCTTGATTTCGCAAATGTTACATCACATTTCTAGTTTTAGTTTATATGAAGCATCCAACATGCAATTTGTCACATTGTAATTGATGTATTGTTAAAAGAGCAATGTTTGACTCACATAAATGAACACTGGCAATGAACATCCCTGATTGTTGATCACATATACATGTATATACGTAAGGGGAAAATAATGCCAAAATTGGAGAGGGGAACTCGCCAATATTCGGCCATAGAAAAGGCCTGTATATATCCAAGTGGTCATATAATACTTATATTCAGGTATACACTTCAAACATAGGATTGATATCGTAGACAAAAAGCCTCAGATAACATCATAGTATAAGTAAAGGGTAAATGGGTACATCACATACTGCTATAAAAACCTGTTGTAACACTGACTTATAGATATTTGTAATCTGTTCAGCTGCATTTTGTATGGCTACATGTACAGTAAACTGTGATATTATGGCCTAGCTTAGTGTTGAGATGTAATTACCGATACTGGTCATTATATAGAAAAGGAGGACGTGTTTATCTATAGCTATGAAAGAGGAAAGAATCAAGTTTTTTTTTTTAAGGATCCATGTCCCACTACACTGTATTTTTGTATATATATAGTAACCTCCCCATAACTTCTATTTGGACATAACTGTTGACTCGGTAGCTCATACCAGTCTGAAGTCAAGGGTTCAAATTCCAGTCTAGCTCTGCTATTCAGAACTCTAGATCTATTGTTGATTATATTATCTTTATTTCATCTTCATTACTTTTACTTCAAGTCCTGTAAAATATGGTTTTCTTTTCAGAAATGATTTATCAAAGCTTTAGTCATGCGGCAAAAACAAGTTTCCAATAATGTTTTGGCAGTGGTACGTATACGAGGATCCTTAACCTTTTCACCCCTGCAGACCATAATGGACTCATCCAGATCAATGCATGGTAGAGTCTATTAAAATTACATAGGGGTGAAAGGGTTAAACAAAATAGCTTGGGGTGGCTTTTCAGCCTTGCATTTTAACATATAGTCTTATATCATCAATAAATTGATTTGCCTAGTAATAAATAATGCTTTATTCAGTAAATACCTTCTCCATTCTTTGTGTTGTCATCTACTGCCACACTGGTACTGCTCTCTGCTTCTTCTAAGTTTTCCACTTTCACAGGTGCCAGCCTGAGTTTTATCTTCTTTAATGGTGTTTTAGTCTTCACTTCCTTGTCCGGCCCACAGGGTTTGGATGCTAGCTCTATGTGGAAGTCTTCATCTCTTTCATCCTCATCACCGCCCACATCATCTAAAGCAAAGTCTTCCTCATCATTGTCCTCGTAACTGTCCTTGTATGTGACAGGGACTTTCCTCTTTCGTTTTGGTCTTCGTGAGGTTGGTGGACGGGACACACTGGCTCTTGTTACTCGCTCTGGAGCCTCTGGAGTTGTTTGGACATCAGAAACATCGTAATTGTCTGAATGATGAAAATACAAAGGATTTAGAGTGTAATAATTGAAATTTCTGATACAATAGTTTCATACCATCAAGTTGTAATATTTATAAATTCTTTAAAAAAATGCCTCAAGACAGACTATCTATATTTCAATTTCCTGTTTCAAGATCAAACATAAGGTCAAATATCAGTCCTCAGTTGCTAGATAATGTTGGTTAAGTTTAAAGAGTTTAATTAGTGGAAAGTTTTAATTGTTGTCCGTATGAAGCAAAAGCTTTCAAAACTAACTGAATTATCAAAATACATCCTATCTGTCTCAACAAATCTAAGTGAAACAATATCAGATGTTCTTTTATTTCTTGAAGTCATATTTTGAAATCTTCCGTAACCACTGGCTAAATCTAACCAAGATTTCAGCATCGGGGACTGGAGTCTGACCTCTACAATGTACTGTTCCTGATCTCAAATGTTGTTAAATGTTCTTAGACTTCATGCTACGTACCTACCATGGAAAGTTAAAAATTAATTTACTAAATAATGCCTTTTACTGCTTTCTGATTGAAACATTTACATTTATCAGCCTTTAAATGACAAATACTCAAAAATTCTAATGAAAACTCTTCACATTTTATTATCATTGTTGTCTGTGTCTGAAGTGAGTAACCCTTAAAACTCTTAAAACAAGGTAAGGGTTCTAAGGAATGATACATCGTCATTTATCATAATCTAATATGGAAAATATTAAAGCCATATGCATTTTGGTCTCTGTGGAGTATATAACATATAGATAGATATAGAATGTGTACCATACCTTTACAGAACTGTAGGAAAGTATTGGTTATATCTTTGCCATACAACACACCCACACTGGAGCCAAAGTGAGCCACTTTGCCCTCAGAAATACTGGCCGTCAAAATCAGGGACTCCTCGCCCGCCAACTTCAGCTTTTCACACTGTTTGTAGGAAATTAAATTGTTTTATTTAATATGCAGTCACAGTTATATAAATAAATTATTAAAGCCAGAGTGCTAATTTATTAACCGAGAGAAAATTATGTATATGAACTCTAATCAGCATTTATAAAATTTATCAAATTTGTGAATCTCAACATGAAGTTTTTTTCACTTTTTTTTTTTTTTTAATTTGTAGTTGAGTCAAAGATCAACTATTTCTATTATAATCTGTCAACCATATAATTAATGAAGCAAACACATTTGAAAATTGCCAAGTCTTAACTTTGAGATTTTCTTTTGATCAAAATAGGTTTTTAAACAAGAAGTACTATGCATTTGTCTAATAATGTGTAGGTTCAACAGCATATAATCGAAAACATACAATACAATAGTTCATAATTATAACTCCTAAGCTGGCATGGAGGTTTTATCGGAGCCGATGCATGTGGGATATTCAATCAAGGTGTATCCTAGAGTGAGGACAAAATTGGACATATGGTGTCCACAATATATGTAAACACTGACAAAAATCTGATATTTTCAATTAAAATCTGTGACAACAAAATTAAACTGACAGCAGTGGAATTTTTGCTGTACATGTGACTACAGGGTTTAGTACATGTGTGTATATATATATATATATAGACAAGCTGTTTATAATGCAGTGATTTATTTACCTATTTTCAACAGGGACCTGTGCCTTGTGTCTTTGGGACATTATCACCCGGACCAAAAACATGATTTGGGGTTAAATAAATTTAAGTAATTTTGTTCTGCAACTTTGTTCAGAAAATACAGCAGAAAATATTTAGAGGACGGGGCATTTGTGAGGCACCCAATTGCAAATTCATTGAGAAAAATCACTGCATTGGTATCAAGTGAGTGGTATTACGCACCAGTGCTTCAATGTCCTGCCGATAAAGTTCCGCCATCTTGTCAGACTATGGCTCCAGCCCAAATCTGTCAATTTTGATGTCACCCCAAAATCTGAAACAACATATACATGTATATAAATACATATTTTTAATTTGGACAAAACACAAATCAATAAAACATGCTCAATTATATCAGTAATTAAACATTACTTTGCAAAGAGACTAGCCATGTCATTGTACAACAAAATACAAAACTAGTGCAGAACTTACAATATTAATTAGACCAGAGATGTTAATTATAGTTACAGAGATTGAAACTTGTATGTTTAGGATTTGTGTTACTATATATAGTCATGTGCAACCTGCATGACGCCGCTGAAGTGAAAAACTGTATAAACTTAAATAGGTCCCTGTTTGACAATATAATAAAATAAATTGCTCTTTAGTCGATTGATCTGATCTATAGTACCTTAGTTTTGAAAGACGGTGTTGTTGTAGAACCATATTTCCCAAAAGCACCAGTTGCATTGTTCCAAAATAATATACCGTAGACAGCCGTGACAAGAGACCCACAATATATATATAGAAGTTAATTTGTCCTACCATTCATGGTCGCTACACAATTATTATTATAAACAAAGCAACAGACATCGGTTATTAATTTTTGCTATTGCCCAACTCTAGAGTGGCCACTCGAATTTGCTGTTAACCTTTTCATTGATTCTACTTATAGCCCGAGCTTCCTCTGGCCCTAACACCAGACTTAGACAATTTGACATATAATCATCTAAATGTCAAAATGTCCAAGTCTGGTGTTAGGGCAAGAGGAAACTCGGGTTAATTCTACTTATTAATCTCGTTTAGAGTATAATATGATTTGCTAGCAATATATTCGTCAGAAATGAGAGTTATACGATACCACTATATGACATATTGCCAACATTAATTTCGAAATTGTTCCTTTTTCGTTCTTATATTTATGACGGTAGGAAATACCGTGTGCACCGGTTGAACGACCTTGAATCATCACTCCAGCAGCTACGTGCGGTTAATAAATACTTGCCTGCGTCGTCCATTGCGGCGCACATCACTCGTCCGTTACACTTGAATTTAACAGTCAATTTACATTAAAATGTAACCTCTTAGTCAAATACGATACCTCGTACTATAATGCCAACATCTAAAGTGCAACTTACCAAAATATAAGCGATATCCATGCAATTAGGAAAACAACTGGCTCTACATTTATCTGACGAGCACCTGCGCCAGCAATATGGCGGCAGTGACTGGTGGGTGGTTCCCTATTAAAAATTAAGCCCCTAAATAAAAGTTCCGCCCGGATTTAATATGTTTAATGAAAAATCGCCTATGTCTTTTATTAATTTTATTGAAACAAATAAGGAATTTGTTACCGATTCCGTGTCATCGTTACGAGACACAAACATAACACACGAAAATAACAACAAAAATAAAAATGTAACTGGCCAGTGTGGGGGTCGAACCCACGACATTCGCGTTATTAGCACGACGCTCTAACCGACTGAGCTAACCGGCCTTAGATACCAACAAGGAGAAGTATTATCTACATTATCCAGCTACATTACTTACACTCTATTGTATAGACTCACCTAAGTCTTAAAAGTATATATGCTTTCATATATATTGGAGAGTAGTGGATCATGCCACAGACAATGTTTACACTACTGGTTTTGCAAATGGAGATGCCACGACAAATGAACTATGCACTATTAATTGAATATTCGTGTCAATTGATATAGATCTGATGCATATAGGCCTAAATACTGTAATTTCCAGATAGGGAAGGGAAGTTACTCTGGAAGTAATACCCAAATACAGTGTATTGTATAATCAGTTGTTTTTTTATTTTTTTATTTTCATTTTCAAGGAATTTGTTAACGAATCCGTGTAATCTTTATGAGAACACAAACAACAAAAAACATAAAGATGTAAAAATGTAACTGGCCAGTGGGTTATAAAGAACAACATTACTGGTTGTAATGTGCAGTATATTCCGGATATTAGTATGTCCGTTGTCGGCTTCTTGATCTTCCGGCACGTAATATATAATTATACGTATATTATATCTGGATTCAAGAGAAAGATACGTTGTTTTTTTTTAACTTTTAACATGATATTTATGACTTATAGAAAAAAAAAAAATTTTAGGGCGAAACAACCTGGGGCGAACGGGTTTTGGGGCGAAACAACCCTTAGGGCGAACGGGATTTGGGGCGAAACAACCCGTTACCGGCCAGTGTGGGGGCCTCTTAAAAAAATATCGTCATGTAATTAGCAGATATCATAATCATCATTCATCAATCATCATCCTCACCAATAAACAATCACCTACCTAAACAATAGCCTCATCACTTTTTTATATATAAAACAACATCTCATCATATTACATGCCATGCATCATCATCATCATCATCATCATCATCATCATCATCAAAGCAATATCATTCACCATAAATAAACACTGGTCATTACCATAAATCAACACTGGTCATTACCATAAATCAACAATGGTCATAACCTTAAATCATCACTGGTCATTACCATAAATACTCGCATCATGTACATGTGATCATCATCCTCACTGTTATTATCATGAAAACAAGAACAAAACATGTATACAAGGCATGATGTTATCGCATCCTCATCCTCATCATTCATTACCGCATGTCATCCGTATACTCTATATCTCATCATTCCTACACATTATATTTTGATCACCTTTCACATGTCACATGACGCTCACATCCTGACATCATACACATAAAGTGGAGGGAGCAGTAACAAATAAACAATAAATTGTCTATTGTATACCTGTAGTGATAAGTAAGGTCAGATTTACATGTCTATTGTATACCTGCAGTGATAAGTAAGGTCAGATTTACATGTCTATTGTATACCTGCAGTGATAAGTAAGGTCAGATTTACATGAATGTATATTGCACTTTATTGGCTGGACAGACAAGAGAATGTAGGAAGAATAGAAGACGTTTAAAGAAAAGAAAAGAAAAAGAGAAAAAAATAGAAACAAAGTGGAAGAAAACGTTGGGAGGTAGACAAGACATAATATTTTCAGCTTTGCCCACGGCTGGGAGAAGCCTACTTGATATATAAAATACAATAACACTGGTAATTTACAAGTAAAAAACAACAATGTACCCTATATCATAAATCAATTAAATTTTTCCATTCAATATCAAATCATTCCTTGGCAGAGTCACCCTTACCAGTTGCAATATATTTTAGAATTCTATAATTGTCTTATATTATGTTAATTAATGAATGTATATGTAAAAAAATGTGTAAACACCTCATTCTGTATATGTACTGCTTGATAATAATGATAATTTCATTATCAACCATGTTGACAGGAGGATGATTAAAAGAAAGCAATCCAAAGAGAAAAGATTTTTTGTTTATTGAAAAAGGAATAAGTAATGCCTGTAATAGCATTTCAAAACTTTGTAGTAAATTCTGTACTTCATTACATTCCCACAAAATATGAGTGATAGCTTCTCTTTCAGAATTACATAAAATACAAAGAGGGGAGGTAACCAGGCCAATTTTACAAAGGAAAGAATTTGTTGTCAGGATGTGATAAACCACTCGGAACTTAAACCATTGAAGCTTTGTAATTTGTGTAGTTTGGAAAGGAATTTTGAAATGTTTTGCCCAGTCTGTATCAATAATATCATCAAAGATTTGATTTGATTTCATTTTACCAGTTGGTATTGCAATATTCCTAATCAAATCATTATAAAACATTTTCAAACCTCTGGCATACTTGAAAAAAGGTTGTATGTTTACTGGTATAAAGGAGGCAACTATGTCGGATTTAGTTAGATCATAAGCTGAGATACACCCCTTTATTGAATATGTGAAGCTGTGGTACTGCAGAAAATTTGCCACAACCAGATATTTAAGTGAAAAGTCATTAAGGGTATAAAAAGAACCTGTAGCAGCTTCTTTTAAAACATCATATATGTTAACCACGCATTTCTTATAAAAATCCATGTAAAAAAATGTTTTTCTCCCAATACATATGTTTTTGTTATACCAAGGTGGTATTTTCAAGAGTAACTCATCCTTTCCTAAATTGTCCTTTTGTAAACTGTATTTATACCATGATCTAAAAACATCTCTGCAAAATTATTTTTTACATTTATTCTTGCATAATTGTACATATTCACTACCACAATTTGCTAGCAAATCAGTATCAGTATGAGTTTTCAAGATAGCCTGCCATTTCTCAGTAGTTTGGAATAATCTTCTTATCCAACTTAATTTTAAAGAACAAATGAAAGCATCTATATTAATCATCTTTAGTCCTCCATTTACGTAGTCTTGAATGATAACATCTCTCTTGATTTTATCTGACCCACCATTCCATAAATATTTGAACAGGATAGAATTCAGCTTCTTCAGAAAGTTTTCATTTGGATTTGGAAGTGAAATAAAATTGTGATTAAACTGTGATACCAGCAGTGATTTAATTATATGAATTCTACCAATAGGTGTTAAAGACCTTCTACTCCAGGTTTTCAGTAATAATTATAGTTTAATTAGTTTTTTGTCAAAATTCATCTTTGGAATTTCATGATGATTTACACTAAAGTGTAAATTTGCTTCTACCCCACTGTGACTGGAGATTCGGTAAAAAGGTTTCTTCACTAAACTTTTTACTACCAATCCAAACTACTTGTGTTTTTTCTACATTAATTTTCAACCCCGAAATTTTGGCATAATCATTAAGTTCATCAATTGCTTCTGTCAAAGATTTTTCTGATCCATCTTAGATAAGTGAGGTATCATTTGCATATTGGGATACTAATATTGGACAATTATCAATTTCTATACCTTGAAAGTTATCATTATTTTGTAATCTGAGGGCCAACATTTCAACAGTATAAATAAATCGGATCGGGTCCCCTTGACGACAACCTCGTTTAATATTAATGGAAGACGACAACTTACCGCCCTTATTAATGACTGAATAGGCATTTTTATGTACAGTTTTACCCCAAGATGAAATACTTTTACCAAATCCAAAGAAATTTAAGACTTTATCAATACAAACTAAATCAAACGCTTTCTCAAAATCTAACGTCAATAACATTCCAGGAATATCATTTTCTTCGTTATATTGCATTATATCATATATGAGCCTTGTGTTTACACCAATATACCGCCCTGAAAGAAAACCAGTTTGATCACTATCTATCAACTTGTTCAAAACAATTCTAATCCTATAAGCCATAGTAGCTGATGCAATATTGTAAATGTTATTTAACAATGATATAGGCCTCCAAATGCAAATAAAATGTCTGGGTGTATCTGCCTTTGGTATACAAGTAATAATTCCATGCCTTTGAGTTATAGATAATTCCCCTCTATGATAACCATAACTAATTGATCTAACAACAAAATGCCCTAATTTTCTCCAAAAACATTTTAAAAAATCTGTTGTAAACCCATCAGACCCTTGAGTTTTATTGTTCTTCATGTATTTTAATGTTTTACCAGCTTCCTCATAAGTAATTTCCCTCCTCATATCAGAATCAAGCCGAGACAGCTTCGGTACCTCACAGTCACTAAGAAAAACATTAAGTTTATGTCATGCACATCACATGTAGAATCATACAGTTTCCTATAAAAGCTACTCATTTCCTTCTATATATCTTCCTGTCTCGTCAAGATTTCACCATTATCCTTATGTAGTTTGGGTATAATTTTGGATGAAAAGTTTGTGTTTTCTAAACTGAAGTAATTAGTCGGTGTTTCCCCCTCCTCCACCCACGTAGCTCTAGAACGAATCATACTCCCCTTAACTTTTTGCAATCTAATGTTTTCTAGTTCTTTTTTCTTATTTTCTAATTCCTCTATATTTACTCCCTCTGCCTCTAACTCTGCTATTGACTTCTTAAGAATATCTTCTCTATTATTTTGCTGTTTTTTCCTATATGAGGAATAAGAAACAGTTTTTCCTCTGATTTCCATCAATAAAGTTTCCAAAAATAGCTGATCATTTATAGTAAATTGTAAATCAGAGTCTGATATATTTTCAAAGTTATCTATTTTGTAGACTGGGAGACAATATTGTTTCTTAACATTATCTATACAATTGTTTATAATATTTAAGTACTCTATATCTTGTAATAAAGAATTATTCATTTTCCATAAGCCCCTCCCCCATCTTAAATTCATTTATTTTCATTGTAATTTTAGGGAACGAATGGTCTGATCGATAACCTGGATCTACACTTGAAAGATCGACACTAGAAAGTAGATTTTCTGAATAAGAAAATATTCAAGACGAGCTTGTCTAATAGGATTACTTTTCCTCCATGTATATCTCCTAGTCTCTTCATGGTGTTCTCTAAAAATATAAACCAAATTAAAATGATCTATTATCTCCAAAAGTTTGTTTCTAGCCTGAGGGTTATTTAAGTTTTTATAGTTTTTATCATAATCAAGCTCAGGTTTTAAGACTAGATTAAAATCACCACAAATAATAACCTTAGTATTACAAAACAATGCAATAGCTTCAGATACCTTGTTGTAAAAATCTGGGTTATCTTGGTTTTGGCCATGTATATTAATCAAAGTAATGTGGGAATCATCTATTTCAATGTCTAATGCTAAAAGAATAACCAGTTGAATCTTTCTTTTCTCTATGTACTTTAGTTTCGAAATTATTCCTCAAAAGGATTGTCACTCCTCCTGCATTTGATCTAAACAAGTTAAACAAACAATCATATCCCCATTCATTTCTTATCAATTCTTCCTTTTCTGGCGTAAAATGGGTATCTTGTAAACAATAAAAATTATACTGTTTTCTCTAAGGTACGTAAATACATCCCTGCGTTTAAATCTATCCAAGTCTGATATTATTAGTTATTAGAAAATTCACCATAAGCATGGACTTAGATAGCAAGTATAATTCCGTGTCATAAGTAATGATAGAAAGAGACAATTTACGGTATATAATATAATCTTATTTACATTTGCATTTTTTCAAACATTCAATGAGAAGACAATTAGTCATTTTTCTATTTTTTAAATATACCAGTTATTTGTTTCACGGAATAGAAAGTTTTAACATTTTAGCATACAAGACGTCCAATCAAGCCTAGCACAGTCAATTGAGTTTCAACACACTTAATTACTCTGAACATTGATTACTTCAGGAATTACATTAAGATTTAATATTATAAAGAAGCAAAACTTTGTTTATTTTTTGGGTGTGCAAAGTTTCTTTTTTTATGTGTGCAGAACTGTGACTCACTTACCGCGCTATAATTAATCGTTATCATAGTCCACAAATTATAGAGAATTCGTTTTATGAATTTGATTGACATTCATTAAACACTAGGAACATATTTTGTGGAAATGTCTGATTACATTCGGTATTAATTGTACACTAACTAGTTTATAATCAATGTCTGTGGTATTTGGGAGGTTTACCTGACTCAGCTCAATAATATCTACTTTATTTAAAGAACTATTTTAATTAATTTTAATTTGGCTCAGCCATTACCAACCAACTACAGAGAAGATTTAACAAAATTGTCTTCTCTATTTACTGGATTTGTGATTTAAAAATATTTTATTTGCAAAATATCTATGGGATTACAACAGGTTAAAAGATCTTAAAAAATTCGTCTTCCTCTTGAATGCAATAATAAGGATATACACAAAAGATATACTAATATAGCAAGGGACCAAAGTTTATATTTGGAAGTATAGGGGATTTGATATAGCTGAATATATCATATCAATTACCTATTTGGTCCATTTGATAAATCAAAAACCAAGCTCAGCTAGGCAGAACAAAACGTCTCTGTATATGAATCATCGGCTATGTAATCTGTGAAATTGACAGGTGTCTGCAACATTTTACAATACAAAATCTAAATATTTGGGAAGTTAGTTCAATATATTTTTTTTATAAAGAAAGTCGCGTTCAATCTTATTTCGATATTTAAATTCATATATTGTACTTCACTCATTACAAGTCTAAAGTGACTCTTCTGTAGTACAGCTATCATGATTCAACCGCAATTATGTAAGTTTAGAATACTTTAGATCTTTTTTGTTTATTTAAACTAGATTTTGATGATATTATCTTAATACTTTCATAATAATTTCATTCAGAGATGAGAAATAAAAGCAAAAACGTAATAAACAAACACAAAATTTTCACATAGTTCACATATTTTTAATAAACAAGGGCCTTTTTTGGAAATAGTTAAAGAACACACATCTGTTTCATTTCAGAAGCTTTAATTTATGTCAATTAACATCTATTGATGACAGTGACCGAAGGAACCTAGCGTTGTTTTACAGGTGAGACCGGTAACACACGGGCACATCTCCGTCGTTTTGGTAGCCATACAAAAATGACCCTCCATGGCCATGGGCCTACAGCTTAGTCGATATGCAGGCTTTGGTCCCGGGGCCTCAGGAATGTACATCATACCCTGTAAACGAACGCGGGAAAATTACTTAATGATCATCTACAGCAAGTAGAAGGTTGCCAGTCCGTAAACACCATGGAGGACAAAAAATCTCTTATAGGGACGTCAATTGACCAGATAGCCAGATTTGCAATTAAATCCTGTTCAACCCGTTTTTCCTCCCATAACGCAATAAATTTACTCTGCTTTATATTTTACCATCAACAACATTTTCGTAAAAAATAACTTTTGCACCTCTTTCCCTCCTTCCACCTCCATCCTCTTCTCTTCAATATACTTATATCTATATGTATATAATATAAGTCAGTGCCGTCCAATCGCCATTTTACAAAATAGGAAACGGATTAACAGAAGTACTTTATACTTGTTTTCGAATCCTATATGCAAAACCTGTTTCTATTACTGGAATTCACCATCGGTTGTGGAATAAATCATAAAAATGGGGTACCTCTTTTACGCAACACTTGCCATCTCCACAAGAGTTGAGGTCATTGGGGTCACAGTTGTCCACGACCAAAGTATCCCCATGGATAACTCCATCAGGATGAGTTGCTGGACCACCAATACCACCACCAAACCCAATGTCGCCGGCGAAGTCAAGACACAGGGCCGTCTGTGTTGTAATAGGAAAATAATCATAAAGACATTTGTTCAACTGTATATCTTAATCAAAACTAAATTTTATTGGACACCTCAACGCACCATTTATATACAGAAAAAAGACAAAGAATTGGCCGCAATCTTGGTGATATTACTTAAATACAGCAAGCGAAATACTTACCTAACTAAGGCAATACAATATTAAACATAGAATATCTTACTGTACCAACTTACAGTACACGAACATAAAAAATCGGCAAGGACAGAACTTCTTATACAGACGCCTCTAGTTTTCATTTTCCTGTCAACAATTCTATGTAGTCTTCACACAATAAAATATATAAAACATCTTACTAACCTGAGCCAGGAAGGCGATGCCCAGGACAAAAAAGGAAGTGTTAACCATTGTGAAGCGTGGCTTAGTTTGTAAGGAAGGTCGCAGGTATCTACTGCCTTATCAGGAAAGTATTGACCTCTGTCTTATCGTGTAAATGATTTCCTATCATAGTAACAAACGTGTCGCCGACCTTGATTATACTTCCAGACGGTCAACACACTTGTATTGTCTCCATTTGCTACATAGTCTTTGAAGAGAAATGACGATTTAGTGATTTTTAATTGATCTATTAATAATACTGCTTCAAGCAGAGACGTTTATACTACATGGCGTTATATGTCTCTGCTTCAAGATGTTAACAATAGTTGGTTTGCACCTGCGTACACTACGGCAATATAGTCCATACGTTATCTTTTTGTTTTCTGTTACATTCTGAAAACCTTATGGGCTTTATATTGTAGAAGATACCTATTACAGTAAGCGTTGATATCAGAACCAGTATAATTCACTACTGATGATAAAATCTATCATCATTTGAAGAAAACAATTCTATCAAATCTTTTTATTTAAATTATTATAGGTTAAAACGTGACATTTATGCACGGTAAAAAGAGCACGTTTATGCATGGTATTGTTTCCTCTTTATTGGGTCGTTATCGTCCGAAGCATCCATCCCCAGCCCATCCTTCAATTTGCATAGCAAAAGTAGGGGATGCAGTAGAATTAGGAAAGACATACTTTAACAAAGTAAAACTTTAACAAATGGTATCCCCTACTGAAAACTACGCTGATGTTATTTGCAGTACTTTACATTGCGCGTCACAAGAAGGCAAACGAACGAGAATCTTCATTATCGCTTTGCCAAGTTAGTGCTGTAGCAGGCTGATGACCGGTACTCACCATTACAAAGCCCGAGTTTCCTCTGGCCCTGACACCAGACTTTAAAAATTTTGACAGATAGATGTCTGATGTATCATTACCTTACATTACAAAAATCGATGTAATGATTACGCATGCAAAGTAATAGGCAGCTAGGTGCATACAGCTAACACCATAGCATCATAACATGTCATTAGTCTTGTTTGACTACGCTTAGCATGTTTTTGGTCTAGGTTGACTACATTGATCATGTTTTTGGTCTAGATTGACTACATTTAGTGTGGTTTTGGTCTAGATTGACTACACTTAGTGTGTCTTTGGTCTAGATTGACTACATTTAGTGTGTCTTTGGTCTAGATTGACTACACTTAGTGTGTCTTTGGTCTAGATTGACTACACTTAGTGTGTCTTTGGTCTAGATTGACTACACTAAGCATGTCTTTGGTCTAGATTGACTACACTTAGCATGTCATTGGTCAAGTTTGACTACACTAATCATGTCTTTGGTCTAGATTGACTACGCTTAGTGTGTGTGTGGTCTAGTTTGACTACACTAAGCATGTCTTTGGTCTAGATTGACTACACTTAGTGTGTCTTTGGTCTAGTTTGACTACACTTAGTGTGTCTTTGGTCTAGATTGACTTCACTTAGTGTGTCTTTGGTCTAGATTGACTTCACTTAGTGTGTTTTTGGTCTAGTTCGACTACGCTTAGTGTGTTTTTTTGTGTAGATTGACTACACTCAGTGTGCCTTTGGTCAAGATTGACTACACTTAGTGTGTCTTTGGTCTAGTTTGACAACACTTTGTGTGGCGTTTGTCTAGATGGTAAGTTGCGTTTTGTATTTGAAACCGTGCGAAACATTTTCATGGAAGCAATTGCAGCAATTAATAACTGTTGAACTATTTCAATATTGACTAAAAAATCCTTGGCGAGAATTTCCCCAAAGAGGTAATTGCCTATTATCCATTAAAATGCACCAGGGCTATCGACCACGCGATAACTATAGAGAAGATACTGGTATTTGAATGGGGGCTATATTTCGAATAACCGCTCGATCATACTGCAATTTAAATATATGTTTGTACTGAACTTAGGTCCAACTCACTAATCTCATAGGACTTATGTTTGTTTGTTGAATGTGCTGTGGATTTTTCTCTCGGTTTAATACGTAAAAGGTTGATATCTAAAGTGCATGACTTTTGATAATATGCCTTTATCGGGAATATCTACATGTATTTAGAGTTCGTGAAGCGGGTTTTACTGTATCACGAATTGTACATATAGCGTAGAACCTCACTAATCCAGAAACGTTCGTTCCAGAATTACATAATTTTCAGATGATTGAGAAATGACTTGTCACTTTCACGAGACTGAGACTTTTAAACGAACAAACAAGAACATGGTTGCAAAATTAGATATAATGATCATTCACCCCTGAACATTTATAATGAACTATTCCAACCTTTGAATTGGAAGAGTCCAAATGTGTCTACAGGGGTGAATAAGTTAATGACGCTCATTGACACAAGAATAAGCCATTCTGACTTTTAGATTTATACCATTTGTTTAAACATCGCGTAGCTGTAGCAACATCTGTAGCCTGTTGCTCTATATGTAAATTGATATTGGTATGGCTACGGCATACTGCTATGTAAATTGAAAAATTGAATTTGGATATAGAAACAATATACATAAACTCGTCTTCACATATACTGAAATGTCGGAAAAAAGCTGGAATCAGTAGAGATGACTGTCAGAAACGTTAATTGTTTCATACTATTATCAATATTGATATTGCAATCTGTCACTTTCACTATCCTAGAATATTGTTCTTATATCTGAGCTCTTTTCACGACCATAATCAACCATCGATTCGTGTCGGAAGGAACAATAATTTAGGAATTACCAACTGTAATCCGTATACTGAATGTCCTAATCAAACAGATGTCTTATTACAACACTATGTAGTTGTAGATATAAACTTATCAAATTGACCTACTGTGCCGGAAAGGACGTAGTTTAATTCATCAACAACTTCGTGAGAAAAAAAATGTACCGAACAGAACGATTGTAAATATTCTTTCTAAGGTACACGACACGGAGGATAAATGGTAACACTATTAAATTACCTTCATAATATAAAAGGTTATTAAATATATTACTCAGTGATCTGTAATGAATGGTTGGAAAATCGTACTCAATGAAGGAAAAATTCTTGTGGTATTCGACGAAATAAGGCTTCTAGTTTAAAAAAATACTTTTATAAATTACTGCTAAATGCATATCACCAAACTTGTTCATGTCTACCTTTGTGGTAATAGTATGACAACCACGATAAGGACGAAACCCCGTGAGAACACCAGTTTAATTTAGTTTGGTGTCATTGGTCTGTAGGTTTATATGTAATCAACGGGACCGTCCTGTACAATAAAGTACTATCTCCGTCCATCCACGTTAATCCTGGGGATTGGATAAAATTAACTTCAGATTGACCTCCCTCTAAGCCCTGACAGAGGAGTGACTAGAGGGAGGCTAGGTAATATAGAAATGAATTTTATAACACACTGTATATCAATAAATCAAGCTTCATAATTTCGAGAATTACAGAATACCTTAAACACGAATAAATATGTGGAAAACAGTTCCTGGCAATATAAGGAACTTAAGCAGTTGATTTTTTATTGAACAGAGTATTTTAAGTTTACCTAACTCTAGACCCCTATTGATATAAGTGGCCGATAAATATTGCATATCAAGTGTGAAATGAGTAACATTTACCGCCACTATAAACGTACGAGCAGACTTACTTATAAGATATACTCCTTCAACAGAACATATATATTAAATGGATTTTTCGCTGATAACTATCATCTATATTAAATTCTCCACTTTTATACCATTCTTGTTGATGTCAAGATAAAGACCACTACTTTTGATTAAAGCTCCTAATGTTTGGGCGAATTTTGACGACATAAGATATCTTCGCCAATATAATATGCTGGCGCGAGGTTTATGATAGATTATACGCGATAATGCAGTATATCGATCTGTGTCCTGGGTCGTGAGAAGGAGGGGGTCTTTTACAGAGATATGTAGGCTGTAATCCACCTTCATTCTTCGTAAAATGGTTTTCACGCTCACTTAATCATCATGAAGTGTATATAATATTGCAAACGCCATCGTTTATCACCTTTAAACCTGACGTTCTTCACATCATTTAAAACCATGTTATTAACATCGTACTTGACATTTTTCTTCAGTGAGGCACTTATTTGGTTTGTGTATTTTTACCGTTTAAAACAATATATGATTCAATATCTCAAAATCAAATGTAATTTTTCTATTCATTTTTTAACATTTCTACTGTTATATTATAGTTTTAAAATGGTCACTCGTTCGGATTGTGGTATTTTCAGTACTTGATTGTATTAAGACGCTATCGATGGTAACGCAATAGCCACCTGTTTACACATTACTTACGGGCACTTGTAAACACTTAAACGGTGATAAAAACAGGTAATCAAATCCACATACCAGGTAAATATACCGCGTGGGCTAGATCAAATATTAAAAATAAAAATATAATACATGAGAACTATGTACTCTTTTTGTCAAGGCTATATCAATGAGTATGTACTTCCGGTTTTAAAGCACCTGAGATAATATCAGAAGCGAAATCTCGTACACAGAAAATAATCACAAAAGAGATGAAATGTACACAAGACTTCTCTATATTACCGATCAGGATTAACGTGGGAGCAATCAAACTTCAGGCCATGTTAAGTTCTGATAATCAAAGGTATATTATATCAACACATCGACGGACATTTCTTTGTGGCGCTGAATTCTTTAAAGTTATATGTCCCCAATCAATGATAAGTCAAACAGTAGTTTAGGCGATACACAAGCGGCCCGATACACAACAAAAGACGAGCTCGTAAACCCTCTTTGTAACCTTAAATTGTTTTCAAACGAAGGAAAAACATTTTTTCAACCCAGCACTTCAAGATTTCCCCAGAGTAAACAGAACGAGTACTCACACCATTCATAGCGCTTGTTTCACGCTGTATAGGGCTGTGTTTAGTGTGTTTGGTGTCCCCTCTTGATATTGATATTTTACAGACAGACATTGACCAATCACACACCTGGTCACAAAGGTAATCAATGGGTCAGCCTTGTCCCCGTGTATGTATAACATATATATTGACCAATCAAAGACTTAAAGATCAAGATAAAATATCAGATCGATTTTTGTCATCGTTAGATATTAATATTACAACGTATATAAGTTTTATAATCGATAGTGAGAAAAATATGAGTTGAGTATTGCCGAGATCTGCTATCAATACGCTTGGATTTATACGTGGGACATGCTGAACCTGAGATTAGTGAAAGTCGGCGTGTTAAACAAGCTTCTGCACCGCCTTGCTGTGCCGAGACATCAGGGTCGAACCTTGTGGCTCATGTTTGAAGTGAGATCCTCCAACTCTTATACGTTAACTCTCCGGGATCATGTCGGCTTAAGAGCGGCATAAGGAGGAGATAAGACCTTCAGGGAAAAAAGTACGGGGTTTAAATCAAATGTGGACCCGGTAGCGTGCGAACATTGTTTTTATTAATATTACAACAGTTTCTGAAGTAGATGCACGCGGACGTTTATAGAGAAGACATACACGGAACACAGTCGCGTTCTAAAGTGAAACATGTTGCTCCGAATTATTACTGACAACTACATATTGTTTTCGTGCATTTCGACAATTCTTGTTTAACGGAAAAATTTAGAAAGTGGAATTAATTAATATCGATGTTGCACAGTTCGCCATATTTGTGAGTTAAGGTTGAACCAAACTCCTAGTTAACTATTTTGATTGTCTACAAGTTAAAAAACAAAATGACCCGGAAGTACACAGACAATGAACTTTTGGCCTTGACCAGGAACAGACGAGAGGCAAAGGCACTTAGAACTCGGATGGAGAAACTGGACGAGGAGAGGGCTCAGTTTCATGACGTATGTGGTAAGGAAAAAACACAGATGAAGAGTATTCGTAAGGAACATAGGCGTTCATCGGGTAGTAGTCCATTTCTGTGGGACGACCCACAGGTTAGAAGTCAGTCGGTTGACCCTTCTCTTCTGCGGCGATACTCTAAGCCCTGGTCCATCTGTCCGAGCGAGACGACCCATAACATCGTGTTTAAGGAAGTGTCATTAATTAGGCCCTTCTCTTCCATCAACGCTGCCAGACCAAAGAGTGAGCCGAACCGAAAACGAAGATCTTTAACAGCAAGGACTGTAGTAAATGGTCAACAAGAACGGATAAACAAAGAGTCGCCTTTTTGTGCAAGAGAAGAAGCTTGGAAAAGCAGCAATTCAAACGAATTTGACCCCGTAGACAAAAGTGGTACTGGAAACCTATCCAGTACACCACTGTTGGATCGTGCACAGGAGAGGGAAAATACGTCTATCGTAGACGACATTAACAAAAGGGATGGCACTGAAAGACGTGATTCATCAGGTGATGTTTTTGGATTTTCACAGGAGTCAACTACCGAGAAGGACCCAAACGGCAATATGACAGATTCACAAATAAGTCGAAACGAAGATGTAGCCAATGGAAATCAAAATGATGTCAACAGGCAACAAAGTTCAAATCAGAATGATACTACAAAGCCTCGAACGCTGAAAAAGAAACGCAAATCTATGTCGAAGCGTCCAAGTACAGCATTCACGACTGTTTTACCTAGTGTGTCCGAAACACAAAATCAGGAAGCGCTTGTTCAAACAGATAAAATAAAAGCGTCGGTCAATGCTGGTCTGGAAGACGATCCGGCTTCAACAGCACGTGAAGCAAGTAAGGGCACAATGAATGGGAATATTTACAATACAGAAGGGGACATTCGGACGGCAGTAGAAGAATTTTCCTCTATTCATTTATCTGAAAATGTTCCGTCCGTTGCTGATAAAGAAATCGTCGAAATCAATCCAGCAATCAGTTTCGATGTAAATTTAACTCATGATGACTTACCAAGAAATGATACCGACAAATTCGATAGAGAGAGACCAGTAACGCGTATCGGTACGGAACGTCAGATATCCCGTGTCAGTGCCACTGCGTCGACTCAGCATGGGGAACCCCGCCCCTCTACTGTAGTCGGTGGAGAGGTATTGGACTTTGAAAGTCTCTCCGACGCCGAAGACGGAGACAACGTAACATACTTCAAGGGTCAAAGGTTACGAAACTATGTCAGTCCACAACGACGTTACAAGCAGGACCCATTCCGATTCAAAAGGCGTGAAAAACTGTTCACAAAGCTTGCAAAAGATAATCCTGATATTGTCGAGGAAGTCCGCAGAGATAGCGTAAAAGTAGAGCTAAGTTTATCAAAGTCTGCTAGGGCCCGGTTATTGGAACAACTCGTTACGGAAAACAGTCAGCGGGAAACTAGCAGACGACTCGCACAAAAGGACAAGAATATGAATGGAAGGATTAAGAAATTTATCGGGTCTATATCTTATCTATGTAATGAGACGGACGAGAGGAGTAAACAGATGCATCCGCTGTTGGCATGACATGGAGGATTAATTCATCGAAAAAGGAACGAGTGCCTATTTACAATGGTAGAAATGGCATTTCAGAACATATTCAGTCAACGAAACGCTCATGGCTGTGATACATAACCGTTCCTAAAGGTAGAAATGGTAGTTATAGATTATTTAATGACTACTTTGACATGCATTGTGTAAATGTGGTGGTTAGGACGGAGGGAGGTATGCACACTGAACAATACAGACGTGTAAGAGAAACTGTTACAAATACAGGCGTTAGTGTGTAGGTATCGAATGTTGTTACGTACAAATGTATTACTTTGACGTAGATTTCAGTAAAACCATGTACTCACTTTTAGTACTTATAAGTACTTTTATAATAGATTCCAAATTTTGATGTTTAAAAAATAATGCCTACATAAAGCATGATATGCCCTGATTATGAATATGGTATATTTTATATCTTTCTTTTCTATACGCTTTTCATATTGCATACTTTTTTGTAAACATACACAATTTAAAACTAGTCCAGTTCATACGTGTTTATTGCTGACTTATTTGACTTGATAAGATATATAGACTGATATGCAGGTGTAGATGATTATATTGGTATTGTGATTTTGCATTTCAGGACTAGTTTGAATTTACTGCTCTTCGAGAATTGAAACTGTAAAAGCTATCAGTATTTCAACTATTAAAAGCGATATCAATGCCAAATAATGAACATATTTGTGATAATTTTGTCCTTAGATCCAAAGAAATGAAATCATGTCACAGATTAATAATAAAGTTATTAACTGTCTGTCAAATGTATGCTATTAACGCCAGACCAGTCCAGCTTTCCATCATATCCCCTAGCATGTATCTAGCATCTAACTTACATCATATACTTAATCCTAAAGCATGTATCTAGCATCTAACTTACATCATATACTTAATCCTTAAGCATGTATCTAGCTTCTAGCATACATCATATACTTAGTCGTTAAGCATGTATCTAGCTTCTAGCTTACATCATATACTTAGTCGTTAAGCATGTATGTAGCTTCTAGCTTACATCATATACTTAGTCGTTAAGCATGTATCTAACATCTAGCTTACATCATATACTTAATCCTTTAGCGAGAATCTATCATCTAGCTTACATCATATACTTAATCATCTAGCATACATTATATACTTAATCCTTTAGCATGTATCTAGCATCTAGCCTACATCATATACATTTATAGGAGGTGTTGCTAAGAAATTCTCTATTTTGCCTTTCCTGTTTTTGTTACAAATAATGCAATATTTCTATAATAAGTCAATTTACAAATCCCCCATAGAGTATGTTTGCCTACGTGTTACTATAAAAATCTCAGCTACTGTGTCATATACCTTCGACCGTCCAGTTTTTAATGTATAACAACACTAATTAGAATCACATCCTACACCATGTCAACTACCTCCGACCGTCCAGTTTATAATGTATAACAACACTAATTAGAATCACATCCTACACCATGTCAACTACCTCCGACCGTCCAGTTTATAATGTATAACAACACTAATTAGAATCACATCCTACACCATGTCAACTACCTCCGACCGTCCAGTTTATAATGTACAACAACACTAATTAGAATCACATCCTACACCATGTCAACATTCTATCTCCTTAGGGTGTGCAGCGGAATATTCTTTTCTCAGCATTTGATTATAAACAGACACCCTCCTTCATCTGAAGTAAATATGGAGAAAGAGAACAAAATTGCGTTTGGGTTTACTTAACTCTGGACTTCTTTATTATAAAAGAACTATTTTCTGAGTTGGCGAATAGCTGTTAGTGTTTGAATTACTAGCTTTATTTCACCAAAATGCATATTACCTGCAGTACATGGTCTTCTTAGCAATGTATGAATTATATAAAGTTAACTGAAGTTTGCTGAATGTAACTGTAAAACAACGGTTCATTGTTCAAAAAAGGATGGGCTGTAAAAGGTATTAGCTCTCCAGAACTGACCGTTTGCGCTCCTGGACGGGATGTCACAAAATTGCGATTTGTGTTTTAAATGACCACAAATTAATTTAAAAAAAAACACCATCAGTTTAATAATCAAGGATACAACGCAAAAACGCCGAGATTAATCTTCATCTGGTTTCGTGCAAAGATGAAAATATGAATAACAACATCGCTTGTTAATGTATGATGATTAAGCGCAAGGCATTCAGAAGTGACATTTAAAATATAACAAGATCGAAGTTTATCGGGGGAGGTTTTATAGAGGACAAAATATAACTACATCCAAGTTTATCGGGGGAGGTTTTATAGAGAACAAAGTATAACTAGATCGAAGTTTATAGGGGGAGGTTTTATAGAGGACAAAATTAAATAGATTGAAGTTTATCGGGGGAGGTTTTATAGAGGGCAAAATATAACTAGATCGAAGTTTATCGGGGGAGGTTTTAAAGAGGACAAAATATAACTAGATCCAAGTTTATCGGGGGAGGTTTTATAGAGGACAAAATATACCTAGATCGAAGTATATCGGGGGAGGTTTTATAGAGGACAAAATATAACTAGAGCGAAGTTTATCGGGGGAGGTTTTAAAGAGGACAAAATATAATTAGATCGAAGTATATTGGGAGAGGTTTTATAGAGGACAAGATATAACTAGATCGAAGTTGATCGGGGGAGGTTTTAAAGAGGACAAAATATAACTAGATCGAAGTATATTGGGAGAGGTTTTATAGAGGACAAGATATAACTAGATCGAAGTTTATCGGGGGAGGTTTTAAAGAGGACAAAATATAACTTGATCGAAGTATATTGGGAGAGGTTTTATAGAGGACAAAATATAACTAGATCGGACTTTATCGGTGGAGGTTTCATTGAGAACATAATATAACTAAATTGAAGTTTATCGGGGAGGTTTTATAGAGGACACAATATAACTAGATTGAAGTTTATCGGGGGAGGTTTTATAGAGAAGACAATATAACTAGATTGAAGTTTATCGGGGGAGGGTTTATAGAGAACAAAATATACCTAGATCGAAGTTTATCGGGGGAGGTTTTATAGAGAACAAAATATACCTAGATCGAAGTTTATCGGGGGAGGTTTTATAGAGAACACAATATAACTAGATTGAAGTTTATCGGGGGAGGTTTTATAGAGAACAAAATTAACTAGATCGAAGTTTATCGTAGGAGGTTTTATAGAGAACAAAATATAACTAAATCGAAGTTTATTGCGGGAGGTTTTATAGAGAACACAATTAACGTGATCGAAGTTTATCGGGGGAGGTTTTATAGGGAACAAAATTAACTAGATCGAGGTTTATTGGGGGAGGTTTTATAGAGAACAAAATATGCCTAGATCGAAGTTTATCGGGGGAGGTTTTATAGAGAACAAAATTAACTAGATCGAAGTTTATCGGGGGAGGTTTTATAGAGGACAAAATATAACTAGATCGAAGTTCATCGGGGGAGGATTTATAGAGAACAAAATTAACTAGATCGAGGTTTATTGGGGGAGGTTTTATAGAGAACACAATATAACTAGATTGAAGTTTATCGGGGGAGGTTTTATAGAGGACAAAATATAACTAGATCGAAGTTCATCGGGGGAGGTTTTATAGAGAACAAAATTAACTAGATCGAAGTTGATCGGGGGAGGTTTCAAAGAGTACAAAATTAACTAGATCGAAGTTTATCGGGGGAGGTTTTATAGAGGATAGAATATAACTAGGTCGAAGTTTATCGGGGGAGGTTTTATAGAGGACAAAATATAACTAGATCTAAGTTTATTGGGGAGGTTTTATAGAGGACAATACAAAAAGATAATAAAAAAAACATTAATATCATAATTAGACTATGACTATAGGCTTGCTGAAATGCCAAAAATAAATGATGACAATTATGATCCAATAGTGCTTGTTTAATAAAAAAAAAAATACAATACTATTAATATGCTCATCGCTTTGCTCAAATAGTACTAGTGCATGCTTATAATTAGGCACAATTACGTCGACATGGACAACGTAAATAAAATACTAATACATGTACAGTGTACCAATACCAACAACATAAAGGCTTTAACGCATATGTACATACATATCAATGATAATTTCCTAATCCTCACATAACATATTGAATTAACATATCTATGGTGTATGAAAGGAGTCAAACCTCACTACTTATTGATGAAAGGACGGCATTCAATCTAAAGCGATTTATTTTCTTAAATATCAATTTATTGATCCAGGGGTTTCACCTGGGTGAGTTGTTTGTATAAAAACAATTTAAAATCCTTAAACTGAAGATTGTGTGTTTAAATACATCTCCATAGATATGTATATCACACCTAGATATCAAAGTGGATTGTGTAATACAAATACAATGTGCCTTTTTGTTGTCGTGGAATGTAAATTTATATTTGATGACTTCCTTCAAGAATTAAATAACAAGTAACATTTTGTAAATACCATGAAGGTATATTAGTTTGTGATATCTATATTGATTTACACTGATCGTCAATGCTATATGTGTAGCCCATACACGCACGCGCACCTCCCACATATGGCGTTTAGCTTTATTTTTTTACGAAAAATTATCACAATATTTCACAAATTTTTATCAGGATGTGAGGCTTAGCTATGTTTTTATCTTATCTTTAATGCAACAAAATATTTCAGTTTAAAAATACAAGTATGTTTTTAAGTGTTTTGTTATCGTTTCATATCTCAAAAACCCTGTGTCATTCTTCGGTACACAACTCAATATGTGTTTTACGCAATGAATTATCATTGTATCAAGAAGCCCTTCTGAAAGTATGTACTTAGATTATTTTAAAATCTCTTTGGTAACTGTTTCATTTCTAAAACATGGAAGATGTACAGATGTATCTTAGACAAAGCGAAAATTATTCGTTCCGTTGCTTCTATTTTATTTCTATTGGAATTTTAGCAGAGGAAGAACTAAAGGACACTATTAAACATATACATGTACCACTTATCTGCTTGTTTAGAGTTCCGTGATCGTCTAATGTCAGATACTAAAGCAGAAGAACTCTCCTTGGAGAATTTAAATACAATTTCGATATCGAGATAAAAACTGATATGTTTATGAACCAATTGTAGTACATGAGATGTCTGTTCTGTTCTCAGCTTCAGAATCAGTTGACCATTGAAACGCCCCTCGGAAAAGCAACTTGTTTTCTTTGAACACACCTTTTTCAGTAATAGTCAGATTTACCTCATGCACATAAGCATATTATGTATCTATGTATTTGTTTTAATATGGTGACAGATTATATAAAGAATATGATTATGTCGGATATAAAAGAAGTTTCTATTTCATATTGATATGAAATGAGTTTCTCGTGTCTTACAGGTCGGTAAATCAACACTGCATACTCAATTACTTCGTTCTGCTGAGAATCTGCAAAACCCAAACAAACAAAGGAAAACCTTTGATTTTCTCCTGTTTATATCTAAATCGGAGATCTTCACAACCTACCTATTATCTTACAAAAGCGAGCGGGGAGCAGCATGTGTCAATATTAGAACTTATAACAGTGCATCAAGGGAAACAACTCGTGTTGCCTTATACGCATCTGATCGCGAGATCTACTCCTGTTCAGATAGACCTACAATTTGTACAGTCAATATCGAAGGACGTCCGGAATACGTATTTCATTAGAACTATCACGTAAATAGTAATGAAAA